GCTCGAACGCGCTGCTGACATCAAGCCAGCAACTGGCTGCTGCTGAGGCGATGCAGAGGCTGTCATGTTTGCGCCTGTTGCTGCTCCAGCTCCTTCTGCTGCTGTTAGATCAACAGCAGCAGCAGGAGCAAGATTGCCGGCAGGAGGAGCCTCTCTCGTAGAAGAAGAGTGCGCGGGGCCAAAGAAGGAGGTGATCTGCTGTGGCGCCTGTGCTGCTACAGTCGAAGCAGTTGCCGAAGCAGCGGTCGAAGGAGCGGGGGTACTACCGGTAGTGCCGGCTACACTCTGCTCTGCCTGCATGTTCATGTTCTTTGGGGTCTGCATGCGGGGTGTTCCTCCGCACACAGCTGTGTGTGTGGTGTGATGATGCGCAAGGGCAGATGCTGTCACCCCGGGTCATATAAGAAGGAGGGGGCCCGCGAATGCATGCGGCGCAACTACAAATACCACCGGGGTTTCTTATATTGTGTACCCCCGGTGATAATTCGATGGTCTGTCAGAGACGCCCAAAATTACCACCGGGGTGTCGTATACTGTGGGGGGTTCCTTATATTGTGAAAGTGTCTTATATTGTGTCATTTACGGTAGGCGCGCGTTCGAGACCCAGGCTAAACACTTGGGGTGAGTTTCTCTCCTGACGTGGACTGAAATAGGCTTCTATAGCATTCTTTCTTGAAAACCTTGTGGCGCGCAGAGGCCAGCGGAGAGTCGCACACAGGCAAGTGAGACAGGTTGGCAGCAGCAGGCCAGGACATGCTAGTACCACCCAGGCACAGTAATGGGAAAAGTGGGTTGCAAGAGAGTGCCACTGTGGTCCTCTTTCGAGCCCACTTTCATCGAGGACTATTGTAGACCCGCGACACGGTGTGGTGTTTGGCGGAGAGAGCGGCACACGAAGAAGAGCTTGCGGATTGTCTACCATAAACACAAACGCCGCCCGCCCATGACGGCGATAGGAGGATTAAAAGCGAGACAATCGTAACTAGAATCTCCACCAACCCCCCCAAACAAGGAAGGGCTACCGAGGTACTGGAATCTTTTACGGGAAACAGCGGGCCACCAAAATACTGCGCACGGTGAATGAGAGGAACCATGTACGAAAGGGGCATTGGTACACAGAAGGGTTGTATGCCTTGTGGCATGCGCGGGAACAGGGCGACGACCTCGTTTGCGATTTTGCGGTACTCACTTGCTCGACGAACCGCCTTGCTTCAACGTTTGGCAGCACTTCCCATCACTGGTGATCAACAGCTAAGCAAGGATCTCACGCACGCCACAAAGAGCTACACTGAGCAGGAGGTAACGGTCATAGCACTCGGGCCCTGTTCTTTGGTTTCCCGGGAGCTGAGACTCCTCTCACTCCTGCGGGAAGAAGGCAACCAAATCACAAAGCGCGCGAAGATGGAACCCGGGTGATGTTGTTGTTTCTCACATTAGCCCTATAGTCCACAAAAAACGGGGAGCCCGTGGTCTCAAAACCCGGCACATACGACGCCGCGGGGAAAAAAAAACAAAAATAGGGTACAAATCACTCGAAAAAAGAAATCAAAATGATAGAAAGGACGCACCGACCGTTCGAGAACAGAGTGGCATTCGCACAACACGCGTATGGTCTGATTGACACGGTCAGCTTATTTTTTTTCACAGGAATCCCACGACTGATCTGAATATGCCCTCCTCCAGCTCCACCACTCGCCTCGAGGCACTTCTCCACTCGTCACCGGTGCCACCTTCCGGGGTGCCGCTCCGACATCCCGCGCCGACCGCGTCTGATCTCGCCAGCTTCGCGCGACTGCGAGTCCTCCGAGACAATCCACCGCGCGTGTCGCCGCCGTCCTCTTGCCTCAGCCGTGACCTCCGGAGCCAAGCACGGCACAAGACCAGCAAGCCCCGGCGGCGCCACGCCCTATCTGCCGGGGCGTTCGCCAACAGCTCGTGCACGAGCACAACCTCGTGTCCTAG